AGCAAAAAAAAGAGATGTGACGAGATAGCAGCTGAAACCTCCTTCATTTCTAAGATACTGCCAAAAACCACTTCCGTTGCATGCTAAGTTTTTTTTAATGATAGTTGGAAATTCTTTGAACCCAGAATGCTCCTAGTTACGTCGCAGTGCACTGACACGCTTATCTTGTTCTTGCAAAGAAACAACTTCAAATATCTATCACAACCCCAACACTTTCAATTTTATACTGCACATGAAATTTGCCGAAGTTTATTTTATCCATTTTAGCTGAGCCTGCATGATCTTTACAAATCATAGCTAAAAGGGATTGAGATATTTTGCTCAATTGCTTCTCGTAATGGAGGCTCGATGCAAGAGCTTGTAGAAGTTTGCCATTGTCTGAATTGTGCACTGTCTCGTAGGCGATAATTGATTCTTTTCAGTCCATTCCTGTTCATCCTTCCTTTGTTACTATCATATTCTCGGCTCTAATCCAAGACGGTGCTCGTGAAAACGGAATGTCTTTTCCTTTTGGTCAGATTCAACTTTATCGCACCGTCAAACAGGTGATCTACGCGTTTCCAGCCTTCCTAATTGGCTTTGCATGTCGTCGCTCGCTTTGTAACACTCGCTTCTGCCCTGGCCATAGGTCACATCAAGATTGTTGCTTTAAAAAAGAAGTTTTGCATTCATACAAGCTATTGAATGGAAGTCACCTTTGTTCACCATTGAGCGCAACACCTTTTCACGTGCTTAACGAGCAGCAGCTACGCAGATAATGGCGATGACCCGCTAATAGTGGCACCATGACAGACATTTTCATGTGTGCCGCATGTTCAAAATCGCACTGTATCAACTGCCTCGTCGCTTTGAGGAAATTTTGTTGAGAGTTTGCTGCTCTTAAATGTGAGTTCGTACTTGAGTGAAAGTTGAGAGCCAAGCGAGGAAGGCTTGTCAGAGTCAAAGACTTAACGCGATAGTTAGTGCCAGATTTATTGCCTTCGTGTTTCGGCATACACACACATAAAGGCATTGTTTACCAAGTATCCGTGTGTCAATCCGCCAAATGCGCCCCGGAATTCGCAACAAACAATCGATGCTCTCAACCTGCATATCGCTCTTCAGAGAGACCAGCATCGCTTTGGTCAGGGCCATACGTGACCTCACGAGCGTGTTGGGATTTTCAAAAATTAAAAACATTTGAAGCCAGCCGGGCGCTTTTCCCACTTGTCTTCAACTTTCGTAGGAAAACGCGATTTCGACGTATAGACCGACAACTGTGCACTGCTCTGGGGTACGAACATACTAAGGATTGTTGCTTTCGTATACTGACGATACCTGAACTAGGTCTTCACGACATACCGAAATGGAATGTCTTGCTTCCATTTGACTACCTTAATCGAGGAGTGACTTTAGCATCCCACTCTGTATGTATATAAAAGAGCAGTACTATCTTACACATCCGACAGCTCATCTCTAGTTTGGTTGTGCAAGCTAATCTTCTGGAAGTTTCTCCAGAAACTCTTTTTGTTTATGTCAAAGAAGTCTGCAGCGCGGAAGAAAGAGAGCCGGTTACATGCAGGCTTTTTTAGTGCGCCATTCTCTATAAACTTACATACGGGGATTTGCGATAGTGCTTCTAGTCCTCCATCGCGCTGCCTGATCCTGTCTAAGCTGCTTGGCGTGTATGCAATTTCCACTCAGAAGGTCTGCGTAATGGCAGCCCTAAATCTTAACTATCTTATTGTTTACCCTGATCCCACATGACGTATAAGCAATTTAGCCTCTTACATTCTCGGCTAGTCTTTGCCAGCACTCCAGCTCTCTTGACGCGTTTGTGTTTGACATACAAATTGCACTCTTCCTCTCCCGCTGAGACCTGTTGCACCAAATTGTTTTTTGTTAGAGAAATTCCTTTTACCAAAAGCAACAATATACGAAATTTCCCAGATTTTTTCCACATTTCCCAAGTGCAACACATAAGAGTGACTGGCTGCAATTTGCGCGGTCTGCCTCATCTATTCTATCCATTTGTCGCTGCAGCGATCGTTATATGAATCAGGTCATATTTCATACTGCTGCGGTGGCTCTCTTCATCTTTTTGTGGTCTACAATTTGTTACTACTTGGTCAGCTATTTCGCCTTTGTCTCTTCAATTAGCTGGTGTTGATTTGTCATTTTGTTTACTTGTTTAACGAATTATCTTATGATGATCTGGAAAATTTGCTCTTGTTGTACGCCTGGCCCAGAATTTCTTTAAAAGGAATGCTCCGAGCTTCGCAAGAAGATTGCTTATGATATGGTGACACTTATGTTTTTCCTCTCAGTTGGTCGGATGACTATTTGCGCAGGCTTCCCGATTGAAGGTCATCTTGTGCATGCTCACTCGTATTTGGTTGCATGTCTCACCTCTGCATTCAATATTAGCCAATAAGAGTTTGCTTGGTCAATGAAAGCGCCTTGCTCGAGCTAGCTTCCACACTCTTATTGCTTCCGCACCCCTTGGTTCCGTAATCTTCACCTCGCCGTACTCATGTACCTTACTACGCCTACCTTTGGGCCTGTGAGCATATCAGAAATTGTGCATGCTTACGCTTGGCGTCTGCCCATCTACATCCTTCAGAGCCCGTCGCTTCTTTTCGTGAGCAGATTAGCAGGGCTGACCTCGGCAAAATGTTTACGTATTAACGTGGATTAACGAAAGTTTGGATCGTGCAACAGTCAATTCCAATGCGTTTCGCATCCCTCCCTCTCCATTGGACTGAATGGTGTTTGCACCAGATGACAGATAGCATTGGATGTATGCCGTTTTTTCTTCTTCGGATTTACTTTCAAACTTACCCTCTCTTTGATCATAACCAACGTCGCTCATATTCAATCAACTCGCATGCCTAGTTCGTATAATAAGTGTGCTCTGCTACCGTATTACTCCTGTGTAGTGTAAACAAAGCGAAAATCTACAGAAGCAACGATTTAAATGCTAATATATGCAATCGCACAGCCAATGAGGTGTTGCCGAACAGGCGCAAATAAGAATCCTCAAATACTTGCAAATTTTCTTTGTTCCAAATCCTTCCGGCTTGCAATTCTATCTCTAGGCATAAGCACTCGAAACTGCAATCATGTTGTGGGAAACTCACTATGTTCATTGTTTGGTGAGCATTGGGCAAGATTTTATAGCGTACAGATGCATAAGTCGATGTCAGACGAAGGGTAAATCAAGTATGTTTGAGCTACTGATGGATTCGGGGAAAAAAGATATTTTCTAGCTGGTGTATATGCTTCATGAGACTCCGAACATCACGCTGGCATGTTATTCGTGGGAACAGCATAATACTCAGTGAGTGAAATCAGACAGCGAAAGAGAAACAACGGCAGTAATGGTAGCAAAATATTTCAATTAGATCTAAGATTTTTGCCATGTACGCAGCTACAAGCATTACTTTCAAAGAGAATTAGATTTCTCGTCAAGTGTCATATTGGTTAAATATTTACTTGGACATATTTCTAAGTTGTGCGGATAGTGGCAAGTGCCTTTGTCCGGGATTTCGCACGAGCGCGAGTGTCAAGTGCTTTTATGCATCATACCGGTCATTGTCTTCGGCTGCCCGAAACTCGAAAGTACTTCCAGGGAGATAGCTGTTTCCATGGTTGCGAAAACCGATGATGTTCGCAATGCTCTTCGTTTGCAGCAATGCTTACCCAGAAATTTGAGACCACTAGCTGCGCACACCACAGTGTTATAACATTCGCAGTAATTTCACTAAATCTCTATGTTCACAATGTCAGTGCTTCACAAAGAACTTGGCAGTCCCTGCGTTTTGATCTAGCAAGATACAGTGCATTGTATCGCTTCGCCAATAAGGTTCTCGGTTTTTCGATGAATAACCGAGAATGGCTTGTCTTCACTGTCTTCTTTGCTTCAAAAAATCAACTGCTTCACTTTGAGTCGTAATGTGCACGGTGGTTTGCCAGAGTGAATCTGAATAGAAGTCCGCCAGTATAATGCAGCACCGCTTCATGATTTTTTTTCATCCTATGTTATTCGACTGCTAACATTCGCTCCAAATGTAGGAGCGCATACCTAGGCTCGTCTCCTGAGAACCGCTTGATTTTCGTGAACCATGATGGGGAAGAAACAAACAGTTCTCAAACCTTATTATAAGCTTAGACAGTTGGTTTAATTAGTCCACTTAAGGCTCCTGTTAGCTTCTCTTTTGCTGTCTCGCGGAAGAGGGCATACTATACAGCTGTTCCATGTGCATTTTCACGACGAGAAGAGGCGAGGTAGTATTGGCATATCTGAATAAGACATTACACATAAAAAATGTCTGGTGACTTTCATAGTTCATAATTCATTTGATTTTATTATTTCATATGCATAATTTTCGAGTATGATGGTTATGGCCAATCTCCTTGCACACATCACGATAAAGTCGACGGGGTCGAGATAGTTGCGAATAGTGACCCCTTCTACGACTCGGAACAAAAACCGTTTTCTACCCAATTAATTAACAACTAAACGATCCCTTACTCATGACCAACTGGGGACACGTGCCAGGGAGAGTCTCCATCTTGACGGGGCTTTTGCTGCGCCGTCTCCTGGAAACACGCTACCTGCTTTGGCCGCCAGCGCTGCGCGATGGCCGGCAGCAGTAAGCGAATGGCGAGCGCAAACGCTCAATCTTTGCACCGCCTCGGCCCCTACCACCCCTATGATCAATTGCCTCATTATGCTGGAGAAGTACCTCCACAACTGGTTTGCAACAGCCTGCTATCGTCTTTCTCTTGCTCTGATTCCTGTTCGTATATCCTGTGTTCGTCTAAGAGCCATCGCCGTTTCTGCTCCCATCGTATTCCGGGTTTCCGTTCAAATACTGAATTTTGATGATCGTGCATGGGAGGGATGTTCACTTTTCCGGTAGATGAGTCAAGCGATAGCCTATGTAACAGAGCTCCATCGCGATGTACGGTATGTAGTTGTTCGTCCAACCCATAGGCGGGTTGGGTGTTAGTAAATCATGTTCCTATGGTGGTGGTGGTGCCCTCTCGACTGCCCTCACACTGTTCCAAACACGGTAGTTATCCATAATCGACGCAGCGCCAGTTACGCATGCCCATGTCAGTCTGTGTCTTTCAGTTCCACTCGACCACTGATTTGCGAAGCGTCAGCCACGACACGGACGGCCGAAGACTCGCTCCGGCAACATGCCTTACACGATCCTTTCTCCGCCGGCCCTTCATGGCCCTCTGTCGAAGTAATTATTCGCACGTGATAAGTAGCAAATCCAACTTTACTCCCCAAACTAGCACTGCTTACGTATAAAGCTTATGTCGTCATCATGCATAGATGATAAAGTCGTGTAGAACAGTCCTACTAACTAGGGATGGGTACATGAAGAGATCTAGTAGTAACAAATGCACTGCACGGACTTGGCTCATCGGTGTTCGTCAATTTGCACTCATTTTCGTAGTCTCCCACTGATGTTTGGCTCAGTCTAATTGCGTGGTTCACTGATGATGTCTCTGGGTAATGTACACCTTCGTGAAGCAAGCAATTGTAAAGGTACAACCTGCTTCGTTGAATTTGTTTTCCTTGATAGTGAACAATGCAGGAGGCGGCGATTTGTTTGAGAAATGACATATGTTACTTTCGAAATTCCTTTTTCTCTTTGAAATAGTAATGCTCCTGAGAAGAAACCGTGATATCAATGAACTTCTGAAACCCTATATTCGCGTCTCGAGGTAACTAATCAACTACATTGACTCAAACTCAAACAAGCGCTCCAATAAAGTCCAATCAGTGTTTGTTCAGGGTTTTTTTCAACGTGCTTTTGAGCGTGTTGGTTAGCGTTTACGACTACATCTCAACCTGTGATGTGTTCCCGATCATGCACGAAATATTTTACTTCAAAATTGCTCACAGACCTCGCCGCCGCACGCGATGTGCGGACCGCCTTCTTGAAGCGCCACTCCGCATGTCGCCTCCCCGTGGAATGTTCGCCTTCTCCCGTGGCTGAATCGTTTGAAGCATGCAGAAGTGTCAGCCTAGTATTTTTCGTTTTCATTCTAAACAGTAAAGCGGACTTTGCAACACAGCATATCTCTTTTTCGCCTTCCAATATGCATTACTTCTACTTATCGAAGCGTATTCTGTGGAAAAAAGAAACTCCAGCATTTTTTTTTTGTTGCTAATGGATTACTCAAGGAAGAAAGGCCAGTCATTATTTTTGAATTAAGAATTTCTCGACAGATTTAAGCGCATCAGCTGTGAGCTGGTTGATTAACAATGTTCTAGACAAAAACAGCGCACCAGAGAAAAACGGCGTTGATAAGCTTAGAAGTTGAAGGTGTGATTCCTGCCGTATAGGTGTGTGCACTTCCGATTAAGGTCTGCGTCTATGCTCTGCGCTCGGTGTTTCGTGGCCATTCCGACCTCTGGGAACGGGTCGAGTGACCGGCTCATTAACCAGCAGATGTTCCCCCCTCCTTGGAAACATCCGATTGCCTCTACCCTATCTTCCAGCTATGTTTCGTCCATCGTCTTTTGACTCATTTGCGGTTCAGTAGTTATTCCATGCACATGGCATTTTTGAATGTTTCCGAATTTTCCTTTTTCCATATACTTTCTTCTATCTTAGCATATATTCGTACATTTAGAAGGAAGACACCCCCTTCAACCATTGCACCTATTCTGTCCTTCACTAAAGTGAAAAATTTCTTTCACTTTACCTACATCAGATATCTTTCTTCAACCTCATTATTTTCTACCATTAAAGTGAGGTCCTTTCGCTCTGAAAACTTTTGCTCTATCGTCTCTATGCACATTCAAAGCGACTCTGTTTAGCAGGATTTTCGTAGTGTTGTTTTTTGTACCTGTTCTGCGATTGAAGGTCATTCTTCACTTTCGATTTATTCGAAAGCCCGCAGCGTTATTTTTCTGTTGGATATTGGTAATCATTTCTGGCACATGCATTAGTTTTCTAGGATTTCGCCGTAATTAAGATCGTCTGCGTTTTGAAAGCTTATAGTTTACCCATATTAGGTGCTGTATCGTGGGCGCGAAGTTTTGTGCTGCTAGAAGCGGCGGCGTCGACTTAGATGTTGGAATTGTGTTGTTTGAGAGTCGAGAGCGAAGCGCGTTGGCTGCCGCCCCACACTGCCGCAGCGGCCCTGAGCTATTGAATGAGAGCTGGAGGAGAGTTATCTGCTGTGGGACGGACGGGCTGCACCGACGAAGGTGCAACTATGCAGAGACAGCAGTAGTGGTTACGTCGCGTGAAAGCGTCGGCTCGGAGAGAATGCCGCATGTCAACACTGTATTGGTGTCATGCGTGTTTGTCTTCATACGCGGAGCGCTCCGAAACTCTACACCCATTGGAAATGCATCTCCCTACCCCTTGGCTTCCCGTTCCACACCCGTTCCCTCAGCGTCCGTCCGGCTCGACACCGTCTCTACTTTCTGCTCAGTGTCACTGTGTTGATTTGCATGAGGAATTTTGTCCTGACGCGATTTCACTGCCTGCTAACCCGGCACAATCATCAGAAAGCCCGAATGCGACCATTACTTTGGAGAACTCAAACGCTCGCACTACACCCTTTGTTTTCACTTGAACAGCTGAACGGACGCAGAACCAATCAGTTTTCTCGACGCTATACTTGCCGATCCGTAGCACATCATCCCCTGCGCGTCCACTGACAGTAATGTGGCTCTGTAAGGAAGTTATTACTGTTGCACTCACGCGCGCAGCCAATTTTCCTAATGGCATCATGCATAAGTGTGAATAACACCGCCGCTCTATTACGACCGCGCTTTTCCTGGTGCTCGCGTGACTTGTTAGTATAGTAGCAGCTCAATCCAAGCAGCCATTCGCCAAAGTCTGCGCCCGAACCTACTCTCAGCTTAGTAGGTCGCTGTTACCTCTCGAAACTCCTCGCACCTCAATTTCTGTTATGTGCGAGCCAGGAAGGCCGACCACCGACCAACCAACCCACCGACTGCGGTCCGCGCATCGCACAGTGGGAGATAATTAGCGACTGTGTAGTGCCTGTAATGGAATTTACCTTGGCTGCGCTGTGTTTCGCTTGCTACCCAATCAATACCCTTCATTATTTATGCTCTTTTGTGTTAGGTACGCTCTTATACTCGTCTTCATCTCCATACACTGTCAAGCTTTGTGATTTCACAGCACTAGCATATCGTCTTAGATTTAGCGAACATCCGTCTCTTCACGCCACATCGCGTGCTTATTTTCTGTCAGGGACTGTCCACATAATGTTGCTGCCATTTAGCTATTCGACAAAAGCTTTCATGATACTAAGCTCGTGTCACTAGCACGTCTATCGCAAATTTAATGGTATATGTAGCAGTTGTAAATAAGTTACCATTAGACTCAGGACACATAAGATCTTCTCGTGTGGCTGAGACTTCGAGATCATTCACATACATGTCGAGGAGTGCTGATCTAGTGACTAGATGAGTGGATAGTTTGCCTAGAGCAGAATATACTTCCGCTCTAGTTCATTTTGCCAAGGATCCGTTGTTCTTCATTGGTGCTTTCTCTCTCAATCAGAGTGCGCACGGTGCAGCCCACGGTGTTTCACGCTTAGGCGATCTCGCCTGGCCATCCCACCACATTCAATTACCTTCTTCCATCCTGTACTGTTTCGCTCTCCCTTTTCAATTGCAAGAAACTCTTCATAGATATCGCCTGCAGATAGTTTCTCACTCTTCGTTTCTCCATCTTGCCACTGCATTTCTAACCATCCTTTTCAGGCCGGTCTGTTTCCGCAGCAAGGCTGGCGGCATGCCGCAACAAGAAGAGAACCGGTCCGTTTGTTCCTAAAATTCAAAAACGACGCAATAATAGCGTTGTTTATTTACCTCAGCTCTTGTATCCGTTTAGAAGTAGGTGAAGCTCGAGCAAGCGAGGCGCGCCTTTGCTAGCTTACCATTTGCCATTAGCATACGCACACGATATTCTCACACAATGCGCATAGGAGCATGCACACCTGTTCAACCTCATTGCCAGACCCAGTCAATCTCGGTCATTCACTGGAAGGCAGCACTCGCTAGAGTCAAATTGCAATCGAATGGCGTTGGTAGCCGGATCGAGCTTGTGTCTCTTGCCTTTTCTCACCATCTAGATGTATAGTTGAGTCGCGTGTATAATTGGGGACGCCACTACATACACGCATCCATCGCATGCAACTAACCCGCGCCTAATTTCATGCTTGGTTTACGACTAGAAAACATGTAGCCAACCGTTGTTTTCCTGCTCCTTCATACGCAGACACACGAGTCATTTAGTTCCAATTCTGACATCGATAGCCAGTTCGGGTTCTGCTGGTGTCGTTTCACTTCACAAGTAGTCTTACTCACTTCATCTTCATGCTAGCTGATGTTGAATGTTCAGAATTACGGGTAGCGACGACGTGTGCCATAACAAGGTCGTCGCCACGGATAAGCGGGTACGCCACCAAACGCAACCACGCGACATCACGCCGGTGGGTGAATGGCTCCTACTCTTCTTGTGCTCGTACCTGTGCTTCGTGCTTTTGGTACCTTAGGTGACGGGTGCACTGCTGGGAATTGCAGGCGAAAAATGAGACGCGGGCACAGTCCCGGAAGGAGTTGATGCGTTGCTAGATTGTGCGAGCAAGGGTTGCTTCGACTAGTGCAGCCGCGTGATCTGATATTGCGTTTCTGCACCGGTTGCTACTACTACACATCACACGGAACGAAATTTCACCCTCCACTGCTTTTTGCCTGCTAGCATGCACACATGTAAGCGCATTTGTTGCAGAATGATAGGTTGTGGAAACAAATCTTGTGTGGTCGGAATTGTTTGGAGTGTCAAATGTGTGAAGAGAGAAGTCTCCTGTTTTCTCAAAGTGTTTACCTCTTTGGTTCAAAGTCTGCGTTCGTTACAATCTCTCAACATGCTTCACCACAGCATCATTACCCAACTTTCACATTTTTAGGGCATCATCCCAACTCGTGTCTTGAAGCTCGCGTACTCAGAATCTTTCACTTATCGAGCATGTGTGCTAAACTGTTTATGATATTACTAGGATATCTCCACAGAAATGCTCATGGTATCATTTAAAGTCACCTATAGCATGTGAGATTAACAAAACTCGGTTTTTGTCGCAAAGCAACGCTATCGCAACGATTGTCAGTTACAGATGTAACTGCTTTTGACGGCGCATCTCATTAAGCAGTTTCCATCCTTCACCGGCTTCAACGACGGCACAACCGCTCAGGTTCTCGCACCCATACTGTCACAAATTCACTGGACAAACTTTGCCATGTGCACGATCTGAGCGTTTAATGCGTGAGCAAACTAAGCAGGCCGTGTGAGGGCCAAGAGAAGACAGCTCTCGTTCATAGCTAAGGAGTTGGCATATAGAACTAGTTTCGATGAATATGCGAGTGTGTGTGTGTGATGTACACGATGCGAAATATCATTACCCGCGGCGAGAATCAGATTGCGCATACTGGACAATGACACGGTGACGAATTCATCATGCTTCTACAACCCCATTACACTTTCGCCGGTCTTTTGTCTCCATCTTTCCATATACTGCACAATGTAGGATTTAGGAATCAGCTTGTCAATAAAGGGCTTTGGACATGCGGAAAAGAAGCTGACAGAACTTCAATATATGTCCAAGTGTCTGCGGTCTCGTTGATTAGCATCGTCGCTAAGGGTTGCAACGGAATAATGATCGAGAGTGCTCTTCTGGGGGGAGGGGGGTGGTAGCGCGAATATTCGGTTTATCTGTTTTCCGCATGAACAAAGACTCGCCATAATTGCCGTACATTTTTTTGATAAATGTAAGCGAGAATAAGGCAAGCTTGATTTGTAGAATGTCGATAGCCCGATTTATGATGCGCAGCATTATAAATCGAGCTATTGACATGTACTTTGTACTTTGCCGGGAAAGTAAGAAATCTTTTTCACGAGATGCTCATAACAAGAAAACTTGAGCATTTTCGAAGAAGCATACCATACGTAATGAAAGTAGGCACTTTCCGCCAACCATATTTTGTTTCAATCACCTCTTATATACTACGATCGTTCGCATGTGACAAGAGCGAAGGGAAAAAGCACAAGCAAAATGCACAGGAAGCCTTTCAACAATGTCTGAGTCATTCTTCCGCCTAATTTTTGCTGGGATCACATGCACCTTCGCGTAATACATGCGCTAAACATCCTTCGTATAGTACTCAGGAAAGAGTGAGACGAAGAAGTGGATTCCAAAACACTTGCTATTTGCCATCAGTTCTGCCAAGGCGCTGAGTTCGAAACAACCTTCACTGGATGTGTGTGAGTGCTGAGGAGGTGTGAACACGTTTCGTATATTCACCAAGCGGCTCGAAATAGAAATGACTTTAGAACCTACTGTGCAAAGAGCTGGAGCTATAATGAAGTATTTATCTTTCGTTTGTCACCTATCGTGGCGCCTTCAAAATGACGTTCGAGCTTGCTTGTTGTTATTGCGAACTGCTTGGGTGTTGTCAAGCGCACTCCCTCTTGGAGTCTGGATCAGCGGCGACACGAGCTCGCTGTCAGCGAGTCCGGTCGAAAGATGTCGAATGTTGGTCGGCTGCGATGTATTTGAGAAAACAGCAGAGTCGGGTGTGTGGTGTAACCGGAGAGCAAGTTCATTGTGCTTTGCGGGGGTATCGCTTACAGTTTTAGACGTCTCACTAGCTCAGGCAGCACAGACCTTTTAGCACCCATTTGTCATGGCGCGCACTCTGGGGAATTCTGTCCTTTGCCGAAAATTGTCTGCTTTCACTAAGTAAAGTCAAATTTGTTCTCAACATCAGCTGCCTCGTTTCAGCGTTCCCTTCCCGCTCCCATCAGTGGTTCGTCGTCCAACGGGTTCTACGTAGGCACAGTCAGGGATCCTAGGTGAGTTCGATGTAGCAACAGCCTTCACGACCTCCACCACACTCTTCGCACACAATTGCATTCACCCGCATGTTTGGGTCTTGTGCATCTCCGTTACCAGCTTGTCCTCTTTTTAAATCTTGTTCCCCACTATTAGTGCTGTCCTGTACATGTCGTGCTTCAATACCACGGGTGATATTGAGCAACGAATATGTGCGGGATGGCGCTCATTAGCGAACTCAATCCCCTCCGTACTGAGTGCTTATGGATGCTTGTGTGTGACTGCTGAACGGGAACATTTCCAATTCAGGCGTTATAGTCTGGGTGCGATGATCAGAGCGAACGAGAAAAAGTGCTTTTCTACGCGGCCGAGGAGGAGGTGAGCTTCTTCAGTAATTCAAATTTTCACATCTTAAACAAATCCGCTAGCCCTAGGAAGAGCAGATAGCTTTGCCAATTTTAAGGTTGTAGTAACTTTAGCAATTTACCGAGTTTATTATGGGAAGTATGAATAGAATGTAATCCCACTTTTAAATTGTGGAACACGCCGGTGATCTGTTATTAATGTCCACTACCTCATCACGGTTCTGCACACATGAATACCCTAAAGCCTGTATTGTTTATTACCCAAACATGTTGTAATGAAGACCCCGCGCACAGAACCCTCCAAAAGCTTGCATTTTTAGGTGCAGAGTATATAGTGCTTGAAAAAGTGGAAGAACGTGGGCTTGCTGTACATATAAAAGCTCTTGAATAGTTCTTTCGGATCATATTTGAAAAGACGATGCCAGAACCTCACCGTTAAAGAAAGGGCTGAAGATTTAGTCTGTTTTCATGCAGTTCTAGAGGGCTAAGGCGAAGAACAAATCCAGATGAAGGTATAAAAAATTATCTGTCCAACAATTTTTGTGTCTCTCTGGAAAAGATTTTCTAGAGGCTTTTGCTGATTTACATATAGCCCCATATTGCAGTTTCGTTGAAGGTACGATAATTTAGGGGTAGAAAATCTTAGCTTGAGCGGAGTTACTGGCAAAATTTCACGGTGTTTTCTTTTCCATGTTTGCACCCTTTTATCACCAGTGCCCATTAGACCTGCCACTGGCTTTGACAGTTTAAAACTGGAAGCACTAGCTCAGATTTTAGTTCTTTTGACTTCAGAGTTGTATCGTCATCCACATCGAGCTCTTCCGATAAAGGGTTCAGAGAAGACTGTGATGAGCTAGAAAAGGAGAATTGCTGCGATAGAGAATGTGAGTGAAGGGCTTTCCCTATCATGAAGTCAAGTCATTACTTTTTTCAGTTACAACATTTTTTTTCGACGAGGAAATGCACTTGCTAGCAAATGAGATTGCCAAATCGGATCGACGTTACAGCTTGATGTCTTATGAAAAATTAGACTCACCGAGTGAGTAGTACGGCAGCGTTGATATGTGCTAAAAGATTTGGTTAAGTGATGGAAGACCAACCTATCCGCAATTACGAAGATCTCGTTCCTGGCAGGCATCGCAGAAGCGGCAATGAGCGTGTGCACCCAAACAGTTCGTTATCGGCTCGATATGCTTTACCAACAGCTGGCTATAACATTCACTTTCAGAAGTATTGGTGATTTTTTGTATGATTGACATGATTTTCTGGTTCCAGACCTCTACACTGCGTTTTCACGCTCAAAAAGAAGACTTGAAAGGGATTTGCCAAGTTGGATCGATGCGGAGTCATTGGGGAAGAATGACGAACGTTCATACTGGCAGGACCGCATAAACAATTACCAAAACGTCTCGAAGCCTTTTTCGGTATGCTGTCACTAAATACCTCACATTTTGGAAGCGATAGAGTAATTTTGCAGAACCGAGATCGTGCCTTCTGTGGTCGCACAGCGGTTGCCGAGGGAGTTCATTCGGAACCCGAACTTGACTCCTGTGAGAGCGCTCCATCCCAGCAGCTCTGTGATATCAGCACCGAGATTTTCGGCTTCTCCGAAGCTGAATCCGACGTCGACTGAGAACTGTGTCACTTGCCTATCCGCCATAAATACAGTGATTTTTTTAATCTCCGTTGCGCCACATTTTTGTTGATTTAATTTTTGATTTGTTCTATGTATTTCACAACGTAGCCTTCACGTTCTGGTCTCCTCAAGAGGTGATGTTGACACCTCTGGCAGGTTGTTTGAAAGTATCTCCTGCTCCCGGCTTTACTATCCTAGGATACTTTGATGTGCAATAGTTGTTTGAAATGTGATTATCAGTAACTGGTTATGCCTTCGTTCACTCGGCTCCAAGTGCTTTTATGAGCCACGATGAGCTACCGGTCGCAGTTTTAATGTTAGTCAGTATATCATCGGTGCGTTGTACCGGCCGTCGTGCCTCGCTCAAAGCCTTCAGGCAAATCCAGGCATTGGCTCCCGGCACCTCGCACCGTCCGCCTCATTCATTTTAGCCTTCGAGGAACCAATCCCGCTTATTTCCTTCTCAGTGTTTTGTTGTTAGCGTATTTGAATTCTCACGTATACTCGATTTGAAATTATCACACTTTCTGATCTGGCTGAGATTGCTTTAGATATCACTACCCACGTATAGCTGATCAAATGGCCGGTAGTACGTGCATTTGCGCAACAGTGGTATTTTCTGTATGTTATTTTGTTTAGAAGTTAATCAAGTTAGGACACATTATTAACATTTCTCAGGACATCCATTGAAAATTCTTTGTCAAATAATAGGCAAATCGAAATGCATTAATCTTGAGGAATTGCGCATTTTTGTTTTGATACGTGGTGTGCTGCTGCGCCCATATAGTAGAATGTGGACGTTGCTGTACTCGTAGTCATCCATACCCTTTCTGAATCGCGGTTTGATGTTTACCTTGTCTCATACTAATATTTCTTTGTTTGTATATGTAAATCTATAGCATAATTTTGTCCACACTTGTTCCCAATTTCGGACAAGCTTGTAATCAGTCAGTGTTTCGATTCTCATGAGATATCAGCAAACCTTTGTTTTTGAACCAAGATAAAGTCAAAATGTCTTTTTTATTTGCTGGAGAATCGAAAGTTAGCATGTTCTTCTAAATCTAAATTTTGATCGTTGCGAGGCCTTCAGGTCTCTTATGGCTGTAGCCGAAATTTCGCAAATACAGGCTACCATCTCGAGACAAGTATAGACTCTCATGTTAATACAGATGTCATCAAATCTTTACACTGACGCTACTTGAGATTTTTTGAGCTTGGTAGAAGAAAATTGGGCACTGTAGAGCTTCAATTCAGGCTGTTATCGTGGGTGGACACAAATGGACACGGCGAAAAACACCGAGTCGGTCCGACTATTGACGCTCCATCGTTGGCAAACGTGGGAATGTATTCGCGTATTCAGCTTTTCTTCAACACTGTATTGAATGATGGTGTTGAACATCTTGTGCTGTGGCCAATGATGTAACTACAGAGCATTCACAATTTGCGGCTATGGCTCTGCGTGCGTCACGTGCGCGCTCTCACCAACTGCTCGTTTCGCCATGTGCGGCGCCGATAAGGTAGTGGGCGGGCTGCGTTCACAGTCAACGAAGAATTTCATGAAACAGTTAATGTAATGGCTCTAATAAAAAACATCATGTTGGACATGATAAATGTGCAAAAAAGAAGGGAGTGCTCCGCGCAATTCGTTAGGGCCTTTGTTTCGCCCCGCTCAGCGCCTGGCCAATCGCAGTCGACGTGTTGACCAATCAGAGTCACTCGCTTGAGCGGTTCAAGATCCGCTCCCCTCCGCAAGTGCATTTCGGGGTTTGTACTCGGAGCAAAAAGATTTTCCACACGTTTTAGATTTCGTTACACTAATGTCCAGCGGTTTGGGAAATTCTGACAAATGGGTGCGTCGCAAACAAATCTTTTGCCACGATTCGTGGCCATTCCTTGCGTGCGTTAAAGGCAGTGTCCGGGCAAAATGGGGGTTCTGAGATTTCTCTGCCATGTGAAAGTAGCCCTCCTGAGACACAACATCGCGCAACTGCGAGCATAAAACGTTCGACCTAAAGCAAGAAAAACGATTGCAAATTGGGGAAACTTACGCCTTGGGGCGGGGTCCTCCGAGCTGTTTGAATTCCTGCCAGACGGCAGAGTACGTATGCCGCCACAGTTAAAAACCGTGCGCTCTTTGCAACCTCTGCGTCTCAGCCTGGCGGGGATCCCCAAATTTCGAAATGTGAGGACTTGGAAAATGCATGTTCTCGCCGTTTTCGCGCCTTCTGATGTGGATTTTCGGATTCAGCGTTGCGGATAACCCCAGATAAGTTGATTTTTTAGAAGTCGAGTTTCTGCCCGGACACTGCCTTTAAGCTCTGTCAAGTGGGCAAAGATCTTATACGAATACGCAGATGACTTTCATATCGATCTCTACAATGGCGAATAAAAGCTAAAAACGGAATTTGTTACGTTTGTTTATCGACACTCTCTTTGAGCCATATCTATATCGAGTTTGACTACTCTTCACTGAAACTCTTTAGATAGACGGTCAGGCGCATGAGAATCAAACAAAGTCTCCTACTACCCGTTACCCATGGCAACGCATCCAGTGCTTCAACAACACTAAATAGGCACTGCGTTTGCCCGTACCATTCATTACACCTTCTGTATGACCAATTGGTCTTGTATAATCAAGATTATTCTATTTTTTGCTATAATCGACACAGCTGCCAGTAAGAGGTCTTTTGGAGTTATCAGTACTAAGGAGGTTTGCTTCGCTAATCCAAGATTATCATTTCATCAATCTCATAACAGGATTTGTCATTTGATGCAAATCTGTTCTTACTGTAATTTCAGGACTTTTCTTACCTAGACAGATTCTGCTTCCAATCCTCTACGGGTCATCTAGAATACACACTGACCTATCCCAATGTCAGATTCAATAACTTCATCAATAAAATCGCTCCCATTCGTTCCAATTTAGAGCTATGCTTCTCCAAGTCTCCTGTTATACTACGACACAAGCGATCAGTGGTTAAAGGCTTACAAAGAATTGAGTGTTAGTCTCAACGTAATTACAAAATTATAATCTATTTTCAAACCTTGGCTTTAGAAATGTGAGGATCGTAGAGAAGTTTTGACAAATCGTTCGCTTGATCAGGCAATTGTGAGTTGCTTTTGAAAAAATCTCTGTTTCAACCGCTAGGAGTTATCAATGGCTTCAGATCCGGTTGGATCCATATGACGAATCTGTTAATCTCGTGGGCGCCAAATGTCGTCTGATGAAGGACGTATTTGATATGGAGTGGGTCAGGTGCAAGGGCACGAGAACTTTCCAGTAAGTCTTGCGCATAATCGATGGACTAGAAGAAATTGTTTCGTAGAGAGCTTTTTTTTTTCATAAAAATCATTATGAACCCTTACTATTCGGCATGTCGTGTACAGACGAAGTCATATTCGATGTTCTTTGTTAGTAATATTGCTTACGATTTAAGCTCCCGCTTAGTGTAATCACGCCAATATGCCAAGTCCGAAACTGGGTTCATGTTCTGTGGGAAATTTCCAGTTTTTGAAGCTAACTTAGAAATCCTCATGGTTTTAGAACTTCACTGCTTTTAGATCGATGCGTTCTCGTTGGTGGTTTCTCGCTCTTGCAGCTTGCCAGGACGAGAACTTCGACAACAGAACTTCCGGTCTACACGTGGAGTATGAGCTGCTCATGACAAACGGTGTTCCAAGCGAAATACTTCGATACCAATTTTCGGATGATGAGTGGCGTAAGCATTGCTTTCATTCGCAGCACACCTGAGAAATGAAATTATTGAGAGGATACCAAGTCAAGTTTGTGCGACAGCAGAAGGAAAAAAGAACATGCTTCGTAGCATGACGTGCTTTAAAAAATTACAAATTGGAGTTAAATATCCATTATTTTCAACGAATCGAATCCAATTTTTATTGTCCATTATTTTAGCCTGAAAGAAGTTTTGCGCATTTTGATGCAAAGCGATCTCCATCCGAGAAAGAGATGTTGTTCACATTCCATAAAGTAGTTAGTTGCCCTCTTCAAAACGGCTATGTACTGTACTGAATTCCAAAATAGTCGAAGCTTTGCGATTGTAGTTCTACAGCTAGCGTCAAAAAACCACCTACTTCTATATTTGCTGATATTAATCACAATAACCTTAGTCAAAGTGACGGTTGAATAGGTCGCCAAATCTTGAGAAGTTATCTAAACGTGCTAAAATTATGCAAATAACTTTCTTCTGCTTGTAAATACTTGAAATAAATCTCAATTTTATGCAGATTAAACGAAAATTGGTTTGGATTCGTCACTGCAGAATACCAGAAATATCCGCATTAAACATTGATGTTCATATAGGACATGAACGTGTTTGTGCGATTTGGAAATTTTATGTTTCCTGATTCCTTGCACTAGTAGCTTTCCAATCATAGTCACAAAAGTTATGAGAAGGATTCTAAAGATCCGACGGCTCCTCCCCGGTAATACCTTGACCAGTCTTTTCCGCCCAAGTCATGGGCTTCATTGTAGAAGCATCGCACTGAGATTTCGTGACCCAACACTCATTGACGGTGTAATTTTGAGCTAAGTTTTCCTGTGAGTTCATTTCCAATTTTTTTCCATAAAATTCGTTGAGCCTGAGTGAATTGAATAGAGCAGTTATTAGTTCTCATGCAGTGTGCATCACGTCTCATCGACATTATTGAACGTGCTGTATATCAGTCCAACGAGAATTTTTGCAGTCATACTTCCGACAGACTTGTGCTTTCTTCTTTTCCAGTGTGGACTACTAACGGTCAACTATATTATTGGATGTTAGTTTGCTCTCACGGTTTTATTTTTTCTTTCTCTTTTAACTCTCTGTGTTGCTGATTTACCTTTTCAGAGGGTAGTGGTTAGTTGGTTTCAAATAACAGCTACACCCACCTACCAGGTTGTGAGAAAAAGCACAATTAAGATTTTTTCATGCCAGGCTCACAAGATGTGCCTGACTTGAGCTCACTATTCCTAGGTCAACTGAGTTTCCGAAGACTTTACCATAATGCATATCGTATCTCAACACAATCGATGCTATTGGATGTATGTGGAATATCAATGATGGTGATTGCCTATGGCTCATATGCTCTCGATGGGGTTGGATTTCCGTTTCTCAAGCTTATGGCTGAGCTTTTTCGGTGAGCTCCACTATGTTCAGTGGTACAAGTTGGACATTCGTATTCTTCACACGCTTTGTAGATAATTTCTTTGAATACTGTTGGTAATCAGGCGCATCGGTTTGAAGTTACCTATGAGACTGCATTCATTTCAGAGGCTTTGCGCAAATGTTCTTCATCTTCATGGTTTTGCTACTTGCACGAGGGCAGAATGTGACAAAAATGAAGTTGTCAAAGGCGAGAATTTTGCATTTTGTAACAAAGATCGCTGATCGCTTATCGAATATTTAAGATGGACAATATTTCGTTGTTTTGCCTCACATCTTTTTTCATCACCTCGTATATAGGAATGCTGTTCTGGGAAATAAAGGTCAGTCAATGACGCGCTCCAGCGTAATTCTTTGTTCACTCAAAAATGCCCGAATTTGTTTCAATCATGAGACAAGCGAGAATAGAAGTACTTTTTTAGACTTAATAAGTTCAACTTTCAGGGTTTCGATCCGGCACTCGTCTATTTCCCATCTGAATCCGTGCCGGGTTATATGCTCGCGGGTTGGCGCATAGCTGCCTGGATCTTCTTCTCAATAAATTCCTACCTCACACAAAGAGCTTACCCATCCAAACGGAAGTTTTACGTCACATTTGTTATACTGCTGACTCCTTGGTAAGAAAATGCTTTATGTGCTCTCCTGGCTTGATTTCAAAATTCCAGGTTCTGGGCGGGTCCCATAGTGCTATGTGTTGCGAACTATTTACTGGATAATTGGGTACGAGAAGGAGTGATTAACATAGTGGATAATTGTGTCATTTCCTACGGTTATGTGGTGTTCTTGGTAAGTCAACATGCATAAGAACGTCAAATAAGAGAAAGCAGGAGGAACTTACGGCATGGGCCCCGCCGCTTGTATTTGGCGGGACCGAAAAAAATGCAAGCACAGTAGAAAAGGTTTTCAAGGACTCGCAAAAACCTACTGGAAGGAACGAATCTTTCAACTTCGCTTTGGAAACCGATCCTATACATATAGGAGGCAGATTCAAAATCTGCATTTCAAGGCGCACATTGTACGTATTAAGGGAGAAAGTAAAATCATTGGTTTCCATTCAGTTTTTGCATGTATCCCTATAAGACAGAGACAATCGCCTTGATCAATCTGTTTAGGATTTGAACGGCCAAGAATGAATTATTAAGTTTATGCTGTAGGCATTGTGCAGAGCTCGCTCTCAAGCTCTGTGAGACTTGCATCAGTACACTTACGCACAACCATATCGAGTTTTTAAAACCTTTAGAAATCCTGTCCACGAAGTTTGCCTACGATTTAGCTGAAAAATCGATGAAAATAACTAAGCATTGTGTTCCTGCTATCAAACCATTCTTGGACAAATTTGAGCACATTTCTGAGAGACAAAATTTTTTGACATTGTGAGGTTCTCTCGGGGTCGCTGAATTCGAAATTTGTGTTTCCTGTGACTATCGGTTTATGTGTTGAGCTTTCCTTTATGATTACGCTGACTGATCTTTACCCATCCGAGGCCTACCTCATCTGCCCCCATGCTGAATATCTGCCTTCTGAATCTCTAAGCGCTTTTTAGGCAATGTCTAGAGAGTTGTTTTGTACAGTCTTACGGACCTTTGGCAAATCTCCTTTGCACGTCTCGCATGCCTAATTTTCTTCTATGGTTGAATGGCTGTTCAACCGGTCCTCGCACGTATTTCCTTCGAAAACTTTGTTCTCACCGGCTATTCACCGAACGAATTGCACTATTGCTGTTTCTCTATCATCCCAGACAATCGCTCTGATCCATCCGGGGGCATTTTCGGAGGCTTCCCCTTCCCCAGCCCCCCCCCCGGACTATCCAACTCGTGCCCCGGATTCTACCGAATTTTGTCTCCTTGAAATCCTGCACTTTGCACACCTGGCATACTGTAACTAGCCTTGAAGCTCTGAACCCCAATTATACCCCTAAAACATATCCAAATCAGCTCTAGACACTGAATCCCCACTCCAAACTTTATTTTTGGAAAACACAGACGCTACTTTTGAAAAGAAGGAACACTACTAAAGATAACACTAATTCATAGTACTAAAGTAACAAACACAAGCAGAATAGGAAGAATCTTGAGTTATTCGTGAAGAACGAAATCAATGCATACCTAAACAATTGCATCCATCAAATAATGATTGAGTAAAACGTAGTTGCTTGGTACTTGTGAAATTGCAAATCGGTAGTACGTAGCTTATTTGAAGGCAGCGTCCAGGCAAGTCTGGACACATGGAGATCTCACGTGGATAGTAATTTTGGGGCCCCAACTAAGCCACTGTCCAAGCGGCAGCTCAAGTAGTGCTCTAATTGCTGAGATATTCCCCTCGAAACTAGACCCCGGGATCGTATTTCGCATGGATTCATGGCGCAAAGCGTGGATCCTGGCGCGAAACTGCCACGAATCCATGCGACTACGATCGCGGGGTCCACGAGGAGGATATCTCGGCCGTTAGAGCACTACCTGCGCTGCCGCATGGGCAGTGCCTTAGTTAGGGCCCCAAAAATACTTTCCACGTAAATCCCCATAGGTCCAGACCTGCCTGGAGCTGCCTTTAAGAAGAGCGAACCAATTCTGATTTTTTTTTTGCAAAGGAAGATTGCTTGTGGTTGATGTTCCGTAATTACCTTTGATAATATTTGCAGTACATATCATGGCCGAGCAATGCTAATGAGAACTTTCCCTTCCACATTCGCACCACTCAGATCGACGTCAACTTCGACCCTCAGAATGCCTATGTTTGCTTATTATATTTATTTATTGCTTATGTCGTCTTTCTTACTCAAAACTTGATATTTAGCAAGCCAAAGAAGAGGAAACGGTTACATCTGCCATACCATTGGGGACCATGCGACCACAAATCACAACGGCTCACGACCACATGGATGAGCGTTTGTAAAGCTGTTTGCGGATGCCTTTGCCTTTTGCCTTCCTTCATTTATGTACTCGTGAACTGTCACGTCTTTTGTCAGTGTAACTCTTGTTCTTCTTTCAAGTACGAAGCGGGAACAACACTCGGTATTTTAGATTTTATGAAGTGCCATGAAGCTTACTGTTACTCCTCTTAGAAATGATAATCCGCTTTAGTGGACGGTGAAGTTTTTTGGAGTTCTCGAATTCAGAAAGCAGAGCTGGATACGATAGAAGGTAAACAGGTCAATATTGCTTTTCGATGAAGAAAAGGAAATATTCCTAATTGTTGCAAATGAGCTCAAAAAGCTTTCCTTTGTGACCATCGTTCTAATTCTACCATAGCACTATATAATATAAAGATTGCAAAAGAGGCACCATTCAACAGAGCAAATCAATTTCTACGGGATGACCACCGGAACCATTTAAATCGTGACCAAAGCAGAGTTCACGAATGATATCCACGAAAGTCCCAGCGAAATGGGCTTTTCGTGCGAATAAAATGGACTTACCATGCGGTTCGATAAGATATCGCACTTGCGAATCCATTCTCCATACAAAATTGCTTTAGCAAACCTTTCTTCAACTTGCCCCAACCTGTTTACTCACTCTTGCGAACTCATTCCCACCAAGTGGTCGATATCTAACTATTCTGACCTAACTTTACAATGCCAGTCACGTAAACATTCTATTCTTTTCCATTTTGTTACATCTCACAAAATGCCATTTATTGCTTATGACTATGCATCTGAATTACTTCCAATTCATCTAAAATCCGAATAGTACTTGGGCCTTCGCTTCTAAGAATTTTATGAATCTATCAAATTCATGTGGACAGTTTCTCAGAAAGCAAACTTTGGCTAGACTTGCATTGCAATTTCTGAATCAAAATGCTTATATTATAAGAAACCTTGTACTACACTACAGCCCAAAGGGTTTTTAAGCTGGAAAAATGTGACTCTGCAAACAATTGATGACTTCGGAAATGGTCTACTTTAGCAATCGCCAAAAATCCCTTGCAAATTTGGCGCTTGGTTTACGAAAGCTGTTTCCCTTGCATCGACTGTGTGAGTCTGAGGGGTGGATACTAGAGTTATGCTAAAGGAATTCAACCTTTCCCAAGACTTATCCAAGCAAATGTTCTTATTTCGAGTCAGATATTTCTATTGATCAAAGTTGCTAAGGTGAAGTGAAGTACTACGAACAGCTGAAGTAAAGCACACTTATACCTGCCTCAATCGGCACTATAGGAATGCTTAAATCAATGCCTTTTTTCTGCTATTCACAAATCTTTTTATGAATTTTGGACAAGTTTCAAATTATTTGGTTGTTGCAAAAGCTCTTGCACAAATCAAAACTAATTAGGTAACCTTTTCTCAAGCCTAATTCAATGCTCTGAATTCGAAAATAAAAGAAGGTTCGCGCTTTACGCTAGCTATCGCAACTCTCTGTTGTCTGGATCTCAAGAGCCACTCTTCCAACAAAGGCACCTTTTTCGCGATTTTGAATCTTGTAATAATACTAGAATATCGTTATCGTTCTAAAAAATTTGGTACATTTTTACCTAACAATATGCAATACATTATTGTGGAAATCAATATCTCAGGGAAACGCATGAATAAATTTTGAAAAACGTTCGATATTCGTTACGATTCGATAGGACAAGCACTCTTATCACCGCATTTTCTTCATAAGAACACAGGCCAAAACCACTGACCTAGACTAGTCAATAAAAACAATGGGACATTTTGGGTATCAAAGCGTGTCTTCGGTGACAAAATGCCGTATTGAGGGGATTTTTTCTCTGAAATGACTTATTTAATGATCTTCTTATATTTCCGTGAGATCAAAGCCTGATGAATATATGGACAACTACTAGTAAAAACTTTTTGGCAGAATCGTTCTGGCTTGTTAGAGGCACTTCAATATTTGCGACCAAACACAATCGCGAATTTCTAAGTGCTTTTGGTTTTTCTACCAGGTTAGTACTTAAGATGCAATATACAAATTATGTTTAGCTTCGGTTGATGCTTTGAAGAATTAACAAATTTTATTTGATTTATATAGGAATTTTCGCATCAATCCGATACTTTGAAGCATTTAAGTTTGCTAGCGATTATCTTGATGAACTTTACTTTCTTACTTATTTCAGACGTCATAAAAGACGTAAAACTTTTTTCATTCACTTATTACCTCAAAATAGACCCAACACACTGTTAAAAAGTCGCAATCATAAATCTGCAAAGGTCAAAAATGGGTTTAGCCCTACCTCACCTTGCTGCTTAGGGTAAAATGGGCTTTCAAGTCCATTTAAATTAGGGTGAACCCCATTTCCCCCATTCTAAATGGACTTTTCGCGTGATTCTTTCGCAGGTGCATTTAGCTCAGGTGCGGTTGAATCATTTTCATTACACCGCTTTACCTCGAGGTTGCGATGAGATAAAAAATCTTGGACAACGCAAGCGAAAGCAGGTTCCGACCAGTTTCCACCACGAACGCATAATGAGGGTTGAAAGTCCATTTTCCTCCATTATGGACTGCGCGGATATCCAGAGTAAAACTCGCAATATAAAGATTACGCCAAAATAAATGGTGCATGTGTCTGCAAGTGCCAAAAGGATGCAAGACGAGCTTGACAGCGAATCAAGCATGCATCCGTTCTCGCCAACCACTAACATTGTAATGCGACACTAAAATTTGCTGCTTTGTCCCTTGAAAAAATCCCAAATTCTCTAGTCAGCTACAATGTACTCTGACGTAGGTGCAACCCTAAAATTTTATACTGTTTTTTTTTGAAACCGTTTTTTTTTGCGAAATTGCGCAATGGAAGTAGAACAAGCGTCCCCTTTTAACGCTGTTAAATAAGGAAAGTTTTTGATAGATAGTATTCTACATGTTTCGTAGGTAGAAATTGCTTTACCTGGAAAATCTATCGTGTCTGGGTCTTAAAGTTCATCTTCAACATAAGGTCGTTGGTCGTGCGCAGGTATTTTTCGCAATTACAATTTTTTTCGCAAAAGAACAGACTCTTGCAAATGCAACTAGGACTGTGCCATAGAACAGAATAAAGTGTACGACCACCTCAGTCCGGAACGGATCAGCAAGGGGTTGAGTTCAGTTGACTGCAGAGGAATATACGAAGGTATAAAGATTCCATTTTTGCTTTTTTTTCCGAGAACCCCTAGTCATTTTCTCTTACATTCTCGAATAGAGGCCTTTTTGACTTCTAAGCATTGTCAACGGTTTAATTTGATCAGGGCATTACATGACCTAAGTTTGAGCTCATGTTCCTCAACATTTCTTCCATGACAGCAAACAAAATTATGGCTCACCCTTACAACCGCATCGAAGAATGGGTTGCATTATATGAAAGCCCAACATGGTCATCATGAGCAAATACGTACAAACAGTTACATATCTACTGCTGTGCTTTTCTAGAAATTGAGATGAGAGGTGATTGAAGATTGGCTAGCACCGCCCTAAGTTCTTCGTATCTGAGTTTCCACTTCATTTCGGTAAAGAGCTGAACAGTTAATCAGAAAGTGCTAAAAATAGTTAGCGGTGCACTTGAGTCTCATTAGGTCTTGAGGACATCGTCCAGATAAAACCTAAGCCTCTCCGATTAATACCTATACTGAATATAGGCTTCAGGAGAGGGGCATCTGCGTTGATCCAGTCCTTTAACGTTGCCTTTGAATGGAAATGACCTGGAACCGCAAAAGTGCTATCAAGCCACGCCGGAATCCTATCAAGCTCCGCCCACCCAAATACTGAAAGACGTCTGGGCCTTAAGTATGGGGTTTCCAGAAATCGTTTTCTGGGTGTTTTGCACATTTTGCAAGAAGAACATGGAAGGCAATATTCTGTGTGAGCACTGTCTCTAAAGTTGTCAGAGGATCAGTTAGCCCGAATTCTGTTTGGAGCAGGCGCGACAAAAAATTTTTTTGCTGGAAGTCTCCGGATAATTTCTTGGGATGCTTACAAATCTCTTCCGGGCCCATAACTCCGAATTCTGAAAAAAGGGAGAGTAGGAAAAGCGAAAAAAATTTTACAAGGCCAATTTGAATTTCTGAAATGTTTTGAAAATTAATTAAAGGTTTGACCAAGAACTCACCTGTCTATAACTCATGCAAGTAAGTTTCAAATATTAGGTTGGCACATAAGTTTTGCAACTTTCCCCATAACTTTTTTCCTATTTCATCTAGCAATCTCATTTTGTGGCATCATGTAGATCGTAATCTAAGCTGCAAGACTGCGCCAACCGTTTGATTTTTGATAACGTAATACAAAAAATCTAAGCATTTTTTGAAAACTGCTGAAAATCGAGTTTTCACGATTTTTTGGCAAACATGAAGCCCTACGAAACCTGATTCAAACATATGAAAAAGCAATTATAGGCGGCATGTAGCTGGAAGTTGGCACATTGGAATCAGTGAAAAAGAAATGAAATTCAAACACAAATTAAGGTGGGGCGCCTTTGAGAAGTTGAACAAGTCAAATGCGTCAAGTTTTGAAGGCAATTTGTCAATAACTAAGCTGCGAAAGGTCGAAATTCGCGATAACTTTGCACTATAGGGTAATCCTATGCGGTAAACACGAATATCATATTCATTTGTCGCTAAAATGAAATTCATCTCTTGATCCCACGAACGAGGCCTTTTCATGCGAAACAGATCTCATTTTTGTGATCAGCATGTCAAATAAGCCCTATAGGTCAAGTTTCAGCAAAATCTGATGCATTCTAAAATTTTTCCCATAGTACCGTAAACCTACCGTAATCCTCACATAAGATCGTAAAATTCGGCAAAAATGTGTGCATTAGAAGCTTACATCATATTCCTTATATTGCCAAAAAATGAAAAATGAAAACGCTACGTTCATATAGACAAAAGTTATATAAAAAGTTGCCTTACTTATGTGCCAACCTAATATTTCGCGACCCATCGGGTCCGGTTCTCCACTGCCGGCAGTTAAAGGCAGCGTCCGGGCAAAATCGCGACTTCGATGTTTTAGGCGTTTCTGGCCCTTTCGATGTTCGTGATTCCAAATCCGAAAAGAAAAGTGCGTTAAATCCAAAAAACCTCCGTTTTCGGAACCCATTTTCGAAAAGTGTGGACGAGTACTCCAAAGCTAATTTGTTGCGGTGCAACGTGAAAACATGTATTACAGACAATGATACCTTGCAGGTATCATTGTCTGTAATACAACCTAAAAGTGGCCCCATAACTTGTAAACTCGTCCATGCAGGTGTTAGAGGAGCAGTAGAAGGGGAGCGGCGCTTAGCCCGCCCATCCGGCTTTCAGAGTTCACATTTTCGAACTTAGTTAAGGGGGCCTCTGTCGAACTGTGCCAACATCTGGAATAGGCCAATATGCCCGGACGCTGCCTATGAGTTCAGCGTCGTAAACGTGTATTTGCATAATTTGCTCTTTGACATCATCCTCCTCATCTCCACATTTGAAAGAAGCGCAAAAATCCACAACAGATCAATGTGAAACTGTACTGGGCAAATTATTCAACACAATAAATTACTAGAATTAGGTTAATCTAAAACAACCTCACATAGATATGAATGATTCGAATCATCAAGTACACACATAAGAATTTTTCAATAACTTCAATTCTCGACCGTATATCAGCTCGCTCCGGCATTGACTGTATGAAGAATATTGTGAGAAATCTCCAGATAATCAATACAATAGTTTCAAATAACACCAGTGTTGCAACAAAACCTGAAAGAGCATTCTTTCGTTACTACCAAATATCTATGGAGAAATAACTACCAATAGTGGGCATTTTTTTATAGTCAGGAGGCAAATTCTCCATCAGAATTGCTCCATTCATTATTTGAACAACTAAGCAAAGAAGTAGCCAGATTAATCCATGCTGTGACTGCAGAAGACAGAAGGCGTAGGTTAGACTGAAACCAAAATCTGCTAGGATGAATGGCGAATAGGGTAAAGTGCCAACCAATAATCATTCGAAATTTATTGCAATCGAAGAAAGTTCTTACCAGCTGATTGTAAACAAGGGCATGGCCATGCGAGTTGTGTAAAATATATTGTGCCGACGGAATATTAGATTGAAATAGAACACTGATCGGACCATCTTTTTTGGATACCTAAAACTTTAGAGTATATTTCAAAAATTGAGTCAAACCCAGAGTCTGTATATCTGCAGTTTTCTACCCCCTTTGAGTCGTTCCAATCTCTGTTTCATCCTAATATTAACCTCCTTGTTGTTGTATATAGTTCGTTTCGAATTCTTAGCCAAATGGTACTAATTTGGTTTAGATTTTCCCTCTTCAAAAGGTGCACTTTCCACTTCAAGAGAGCTGGATTTTAGGAGCCCATTGCCTAATTAGTGGCACTTATGCGGTAAAGAAACTTCAAAGTACCAAAGAACTCTTTAAACGATAAAAAAAAGAAGATATGGAGCCAACATTCAGAGAAGTCATGCACACACTTCTAGGCTTCTACTGTCCATTTATTGTCACTGCGCTGAATCTCACCCCTCCACTGATTCGATGACCTTGGATCCAGGAACGAGATATATATTCTTCGCTTCAATTTTCTCAAGCAAGAAATCGCCGACGTCGACCTTTGATGGCTTCCCGCTACGGGACTGATAGTGTGTCTTCTCAGCGCCGCCGTAATCCGTAAATTTCATTCTGAACGATGATGAGGTATATGATGTTGGAGACGTTACGTGAATGCCATCAAACATACTTTTCTATGGTGAACGGGCTATACATAGTAAAGGAGCAGTTCTGAGTATCGTGTGGGTAGTTATCATATTCGAAGTAGCACGTTGTTTTTACGAGCACGTCAACCTTAATTTGACGTAAATATGTTGCAGTGAAGAAGTCTGTTTACGAATAGATGCTTAAGTTGAAAGCGGTATGTTAGCAGTGTCCGACATGATAGTAGGTGCTGGGTTTGGAAGACCAGTTATAAAAAGCTTAAGATCCGAGACCGATCAGCAAAATTGCGTGGTGCCCGTACGATGTGTTTAGAGGAACCGTGTCTGGATAAGTGAACAGTAACCCAAGGAACCTTTCGATTCGTTGACCGCATGGACTGCTCAAACGTTGCGGACCATGCGCGGCGCAGCTAAAATGTTGCGAGAGCACGTCTTGTAGAATGACGATTTATACTGGGACAAATGTTTTACCTTGCGAGCGTGCTCCACAATAATGTCCAGTCCATGCAGTCAACGACTCTACAATGCAATCTCTTTCATGGAAAGAAAATGGTCCCACGCTTTGCTGAAGGACCCTCCCGAATATTTATTACAGCGCCAACGCTTGCCTCTAATTCACAGTTGCGCTTTTCCAAGCAAAGGAAAACAAACATATGAGTGAATAAAATGAAGTCATAGATTGGTATGTGACACTCACCATGCAACGGATGTGTCCCATGTTCGTAATTGTAAGTTCTGTCGTCTCGAAATTTAGTATGTTAGCTGTCCGAAAAAATCTGGAAATTGACATCTAAGTTTCCTGCAGAATCTATCGAAACAAAATGTTGAAGAGTTCCACATGTTAAGGTGTTTTACGTGGTAGAGTTACCACCTGCCCTCGGTTCATAAGTTTTTATTCCTCATTTTATGGAAACTATTCTAAAAAGCAATAATGTGACAGCGATGCAGTGTGATGCTTTAGGACTACTTCTGTCCGGAGCTTAGCGGACTTTGGGCCTTGTAAACGAAAAATGAATCAAAGCTAGCAGCACGGCTGCAGGCGATTTAATACGAGCAGTACAGAATATCTCTGATGTTCTATCACTTTTCTGACAAACAGGCATTTCGACGTTACCTTTGCTCAAAAAAAAAAAACTATGGAACTTAGGAGTACAGCAAGATCTAAAGCACTGATGTTATATGAAATGTCAAATCGACGGAAAATTTCTTACAATTCTGTTAAGTAAACCTTGGGTAGCCAGATCTTCCCGTCGAGTAGTACTCGTCTTCTGGTGATTTCATGTATATTTCCATACTCGGATGCATTCCATACGAGTCGGCTGTCCCTCCAAATCTAAGTGTGCACACAAGTAGTGATCAGATTTGGATGTTGAAATCGATTTTGATCAAAATCAGCGAGCTAAACAACTAATTATGATTTAGAGTACATTTTCCTTTTGTTGACTGTTGTAATACTATGAAGCTTGATAGGAATAAGTAGTCGAATGAAAAATGCATTTCCGACGCATCCCTTTACGCAAAAGAGTCTTAGTTTCTGTCAGTTTGACAGAAAAATTTGAACATAGCAATAAGTCTTCCACTCTTTTTTAGAGCGCATCTCAGTTTTGTTAACCTCCATAATGTTCAGCTTTCAAAAACAAAAAGAGGGCGCAAATTTTGTTGATGGTTGCCACTGAAAGAACAACGTATATAATCAACTAGCTGGCTTACCCGGCTCCGCCGTATCCGGACCAAACTTGGCACACATACACTTCGGGCCCCGGCGCGTGTCACAGTCCACTTTTCGTTATCGATCGATGTCGATTTTACCGATTTTTATCGATTTTTTCGCAGAGTTCACCTACAGGGCTAGGAGTTGGCACAGGGGGGAAGTGAGCATGGGGATTCCGAATACAATATTAGTTTTCAGAATTATCGGTTACTTTTATTGATTTTATCGATTTTTTGTAAATTTTGACATGCGATGCTGGGATTTTGCACAGGAGGGTAATCGAGCATGCCGATTACGAACACAATATTAGTTTTCAGGATCGTCCATTACTTTTATCGATTTTAACGATTTTTTCGTAAAGTTTGACCTGCGGGGCTGGGAGTTTGCACAGGGGGGTAATCGAGCATGCAGATTACGAATACAATATTAGTTTTTGGAATTATCCATTACTTCTATCGATTTTATCGATTTTGCAAAATTTGAGCTAGGGGGCTGGAATTTGGCACAGGGGTGTAATCGAGCATGCTGATCACCCCCTTGGGGATGATCAGCATGCTCGATTACCCCCCTGTGCCAACTCCCAGCCCCCTAGCTCAAACTTTGCAAAAAATCGATAAAATCGATAAAAGTAATCGATAATCCCGAAAACCAATATTGTATTCGTAATCTGCATGCTCGATTACCCCCCTGTGCGAACTCCCAGCCCCGTAGCTCAAACTTTGCAAAAAAATCGATAAAATCGATAAAAGTAATCGATAATCCTGAAAACCAATATTGTATTCGGAATCCCCATGCTCGATTACCCCCCTGTGCCAACTCCCAGCCCCGTAGCTCAAACTTTGCAAAAAAATCGATAAAATCGATAAAAGTAATCGATAATCCTGAAAACCAATATTGTATTCGGAATCCCCATGCTCGATTACCCCCCTGTGCCAACTCCCAGCCCCGTAGGTGCACTCAGCAAAAAAATCGATAAAAATCGATAAAATCGATATCGATCGATGACGCAAAGTAGCCTATGACACCCGCCGGGGCCCGTAGTGTATGTGTGCCAAGTTTGGTCCGGATCGGTTCAGAAATGGAATTTTCTATTCGGAACATACGTACAGACATACATACATACAGACATACATACAAACAGACATTCAGCTTTATATATAAGATTATCAGCGAACTACAGTGGTTTATAAGTGAATCATTCGTAACTAATTATGGAGCGCGATAGTCTACGACTTTTTACGACACGATGACTCGTCAATTGAGCCCGTTTTTGCGTGTTATGTAAACGTGTATTACTACTTACTAAGGAAGTTACTAACTTAGCACGGCCTTTGGCAAATGACATATGTACTCTGAATCAGCTCCAAAGCTGATATCAAATATGCTACTCCTAGCCGCCGAGCCCCATTCCGAAGCGAGTTACGGACTTTTTCCTGGCGAAATTGGCGTACTCATCGACTCACTGGCATAACGGCATCATCACCTAAGTGCCAATACACTTGCGTTAAGCTTCTTTTTAGTGAGAAAAAATTGGATTTGTGTTATTTTAATATCTGAGCACTTTTTTCTGCAAATTTTAATCTACAGACAGTCTTAGCATGTTCAGTAGTATGCCAGTATGCTATTTTTGCGAAGAGCAAAGCCCATAACTCTCTTCGGGATGGCGCTCGGCAGCTAGGAATAGCATATTTGATATCAGCGTTTGAAGCTGATTCAGAACGTATATGTCACTTGCCAAAAGGCCGAGCTAAGTTAGGTAGCTTTCCTCATTGGAAAAGTTACTCGTTACAGTAGCGTAATAGCCGAAAATTGCCGCACTCCGGTGAAATCCGGCGATCCGCGCTGGAGCTCCCTGGAGTACGGGAGTATGTTAGGTATACGTGAGAAACCAAAAATCACATACTTCTCTAGGAGAATGCTAGGATACACAATGTACGTACTAATTAAGCCAAAAGAATGCTGCTGCAATTTTTGGCGAAGCGCAGGTATACGGTAGACGTACCGTACGAATCAGTTTTTCATGGGTCTGCCTAAAACTTCTTGGCGGGGCTATGCGATGTGCTGATTATGAGCATGTTCTACTTTTGCGGTGGTAGTATATTGCAAAAATAGGATAGGTGTACTGTAAGGGTTTGTTGTGCATAAATTTCCTAGGAATTTCTTTCAGTCAATGATGTCAATCATCTACCGCAAGCTGCAGAGATACGGCAAGTATGTGAGAATTTATCTCGGAGACTAGTTCCAATTCTTCCCGAACAAGACGACGAAAATCTTCCTTGAGAAGAATGAGTGTTTGATAAAAATTTGCGAAGAATACTGAAATAACGCCCAGGAGAGAAGTTATATTAGATACCAGATATATCACGCAAATTGATCCCTTACCATGTAGTTATCGCATCTAGCATGCCACCACCGCAACTAACGGACATGTTACTTGATCAGCACATCGAATAATCTCGCCAAGCATATTCCCATACAGATTCATGCAAAATTCATTTTTACCCTACGCCTACCGTATCCCAGCGCCTCGCTACCAGCTGCAAAGCACCCTTGTCGTGGACAACACATTGTGTGAATTATCCAATTAGTCTCTTAGAGATGTGTGCGAAAAACTGTTTCTTACCGTATACCTAACATCATGTCTTCTGCAGCAGAAGCAGACGAAAGGCGAAAGGTGTTCTTGCATCCAGGATCCGTCTATCCTGAAGCGAGATAAGGCGATGCGACGCGGAGTTCAGTGCGGCGACTTTTTTGACGGATTATGACCGGTATTGTATCTCTAGTAGTTTAATAAAAGACGAACTCACCAACAGAAGACCTCCATGTAAAATCATCAGTTGCTGTTCCTCGTTCTGAAACAAATCATGTCAAATATTCCGGGGTTGTACACGAATGACCAATATTGGTGACCATAGGAGGTGAGTTACAAAAGTGTAGACCTTCATTATTAGCAAGCCACTCCTTCGAAGAAACAACAAGTAGTCTCCGAAGATAAACTAAATCTTACCAGGGCTTCCACATGGTCGACAAAAAATAGGGGCAACACTTCCGCTGGAGGATCCGAAGGGACGTTGGCATCATAAATTTTTGCGTCAAAAATGGTGTTGATTATTTTACGCTGAAAAATTCTAGCAATGAGATATCCTTCAAAACTGCGATATGGACATTTACCTCATTACTCATTTGGGTTTCTAGGTCTTGCTTTAGTTCGCTGACAGGAGGTAGAAGCAGCGTAAGGGCATTGAAGAGCGTTAAGTCTACCGCATCGCCCATTTCGAACCGACCGCTGCGCCAGAGTCCGCATCGTTTATGAAATACAATCTGGGCGTTTATCCAACGAAATGCGATCAGTTCATGGGGCCAGGATTATTGCGTGGTCGTAACTCTATGTCATAATCAACTCAAACATAAGCTTCTCAAAACCGCATCTTTCTCGACATTGGTGTGTGTGGCGTGCATGTGCTTTTTCGAACTTCACTTGTAGGTCATTCTTAAAGTCGCGACGACGAGTTTGACTGCATTCTTTGCCCCAGAAGCATAAAACACCCATACAAACAGGTATCACCTCAAAACTCAGCTCAGTCACTTCCAGTGTCTGAATACTGTTATATGTTTGCAGGGGAACCATTCGAGTAAAGATAGAAACCAAGAAACTGCAGCTGCTGAAAGCGCGTGCGTATCGCACGCGGTCGCACCATCGTCACGATTTTTCGAACGCTGTATACGAACTGTTGTTCAGTCATGAGGAGAAAGTCTTTCGTCCGATTACAATCGAAAATTTTGACAGAACCATTAGCGAAACGCTCAAAATCGCCTCTTTTTTGCGCAATGTTAGAAAGAAAGAGAGTATGCGCTTGATACTGCTTTGTTTTGTCTATGTTACTCAGGGGACCATAAACAATGAACTCTTGCTTTTAGTTGTAGAGAGAAGGAAAAGCAGTTAATTTTTGCAGCAGGCAAAAGCAATCACTACGCGCTGTTAGTAGAGGGAGGCGAGACAGAATGGTGTCCAAATAAAACTCGAGAGGCAGATCGTAAGGAGCATGAAGAGCGATTCCGATTCGATTTCCTCCACAATTCGGTGTCTAGTAATTCAAAATCTTATGGGCAAATATGTAACGGTAATTAAAGTAACGGTACGGCCGCGAATATGTAATATATTGGCTGGCGGTTCCGGTCTCACCCGAGACTCTAAACTAGTTTAACCATGTGTTACTTACTCTTTCAAATCTTTTACCGTGCGTGAAAATCGCTCTAATGCGAATTGCCGCATGCTGCCGACCTTGAGATTAAAATAAGCTTCTCCGCCCCTGCTTACATGTTTACTAAAAGATTAGTTAGAACGCGTTGAGCTTTTTCCTAGATTTAAGTAAACAAATCAATAAATCAATAGAAGGACGCTGCAAATCGCCGCAAAAAGTGACTTATAATCTGCGCAGTGCGAATACATAAGTGTGCAAAGCTTCAGCTCAATCCGTCCAACGGCGGACGTTTCTATGAAACACAAACAAATAGACCGGAACCTTATAGACACTGACTTTTATTTATTAGATTGGCATTAACCAGAACTCTGAATCTTTGCTCATTTCACGTTTTTTACTTTCTCTTTGCAGGGACATAACCAAACTGGCTGATTAGGTCAGAAATAAGTCTTGCATTGAAGTTCGAAAATTTCTAACTTTTGTTATCGAAATAAATCTGCTTTATGCAATATCTAAAGGAGAAATCATGCGCTTTAGAGTAGTGTTTGAAGCAAAAATCATTATTGTTCTAGCTCGGCAGTATACAGAAACTGATAAAGACATTCAATCTGTATAAAATGCATTTCGGATAAAGACATTCAACTTGTATAAAATCAGAGCTCGTTACAAGCAAGCTGGATATCGTTTTTGGGACAAAAAGCAAAGGGGGTTTCGCCGAAAAGACGCAAAATTTTTGCGACTTTTTTTTAGTCGACGTTTCGTTTTTTGGGGAAATTTCAGGGATTATGGTTTAGGGTCAAAGGGAACTTCGTACAAATTCGCAAAATTAAGGGGAATTTCTTTTTTGTTTTTCCATCTAGCCACCTCGTGCCGAGCCCTGTATAAAAGCATTTCGGTCGCGAAAAATGCCAAGCAACAACTTCTGATTTATTCTTCATTTGAGTCTTATGACCTAAGCTTTACTGTTAATAATTTCTATTGATTGCATGCTTCTAGAGAAGTTGTAATCTTCAGTTTTTTATCCCAATTTTTTTGCGCAGAAAAAACTTCTTATTAACATGATAAATACACATAAATCATGTCTAACGGAGAAAATTCAAGGGTATGAAAACCTAAGCATTTTCCAATCATTCTAGAGGATAGCGCAAGATTTATATTCTAACCTAATAGATGCATACGACAAACTCAGGGTTCCGTTGGTTTTGTTATAAAAATCAGCCTCCTACGCTGCTAGTCCTCATTAGAATCAGGGAGCTGCAGGCTCCAACTGCTTTGGACCGCGTCGTCACAATTGGCTAAACTACGGAAGACTTTCCTAACATGATTCTTAAACAGTAGTCCTTAGGTCGAGTTGTTCTCATGATGCATCAAGGCAATCGATTTTATCTGACTGTTTTTATGTCTTGAGACAGTTCCAAGAGCAATCCGCTTTGTCACCAGTTATCTCGCATCTCATGATCTGATCCTAAGTACAGGCTGCTGAAGAATGAAAAGGATTTTGATCCAGCCTTTTCCAGCTTTTTCTGATTCAATGCCTATCGAAAGCTGAGACAGTTTTCAGGACATGAAGAGCCAGTTCAGTCAGATCAAATTAGCCGAGATGGCAAGTGATTTCGATAACTTAAGCTGATTTTTAGGAAAATCAAACATTGCGAATTACCTAAGCAACATTGGCACATACATTGCTCCTGATCTGCTGGCTTCCATCTTTAGGAAAGCTGTGTCTCTGTTAGAGTGATATTAGTTATTTTTATTCAAAGCGTTTGCTATACAGCTTCACCTTTCTTTTCTTAACTGTGTTCAAGAACGGTTATGTCCCGTCATGCGCTTTACTGCAGTATCTTTGACTTAAATAAGTAATAAAGACATTTAAATGCAAATGAAAAAAAAATGGCATTTGAGCAAAGTCGCTAAAAATCTGAGAATATCCGTTTGAAAGCTGAAATCATGCGCTTCAAAGCAGTACTTTTGAGAAGATGCGTAAAAGCTCAATTAACTTACGATATATAAAGTAAACCCAAAAAATTTCTTCGTTCTCTGAGACTCGTTAGCTTCTTTATTTTACATTCTCTTAACCGTTTCAAGGTGCTGTAATGGAGGACCATTTTTGAATGATGTACTATTCACGCTACATCGTAAATACCTTTGAGTTATGGCGTCACTAATGCCTTTTCAAAACCATTAGAGTTAGACAAGCCAGAAAAGCATTCAAAGACTTTAGACAGTGTGTCGTCCAAGCAGCTGGAAAGGATTTGTGCGAAGAAAATTCTGTTACCTCAGGAAAATTTTTCCAACTAGACATTGAGCAGTGTTCGTAGTGCACGTATCTATCGGATGAGCTCTCAGAACTGTATGTGTGGGCTCCGGGCTTTGACTTATAGCAGCATCCAGGCAGATCTGGACCTGCGGGGATTGTACGTGGAAAGTAATTTTGGGGCCTTAACTAAGGCACTGCCCAAGCTGCAGCGCAGGACTCACTAACGGCTGAGATATACGCCTCCAAACTGGACCCCATGATCGTTATTCGCATGGCATGGCAATTTCGCCCGAGGACCCACGCGTTGCGCCATGCGAAATACGATCCCGGGGTCTAGTTTCAAGGGGAATATCTCAGCCAATAGAGCACTACCTGAGCTGCCGGTTGGGCAGTGGCCTAGTTAGGGCCCCAAAATCACTATCCACGTGAGATCCCCATGTGTCCAGACTTACCTGGACGTTGCCTTTAACTCGATATGCTTTCAAGAACAATTACTGTTCTACAAGCTGCACGATGAGAATGGAGCTCGTAAAGGATCATCATATCATATCATCACCTATCATCATATTTGTACAGATAACTGTTGCACCAGTGTTTTCATGAAAACAAGCAACAAAAGAGAGCTTTGATTCCCCGTTTACTTTGATTCCTCGACCACTGTATGTATTGGATTAGCTGTCTACATAATAGGGGGGGGGGAGCTATCTTACGTTTGCGCCTTCATTTCTGCCATCACTGTTCTTGAAAAGCTTTTATGAATAATCACATTCACGCCCTCCACCAGGACTATTCTACTCCTCCTAAAAACGAGTCTTCAACTTGTAGACTTTTGAACTTCTGCAAAGCGCAAGCATTTTCGACATTTATGCTAGTAACTGTAACAGGAGATGACAAAGATCCTTTGGGGAAGCTCCTTCCGCATGACAGTATCCAACAGCCACCCTGCACTTGTCTTATCGTCGCGCTGGCGGCAATTGTTTCTCCGCTTCCGTCTCTTCGTATGGAGGACATAATGTCGGCGATGGCTCCAGCCTCGCGGACAGCTGTCACGAGCTGTAATGTACAGATCGCGTGCTTGTTGCAGTTACCCGCGCCATATCCCTTTTCGGCGTCACAATTTCCTCTGCTCCCTCTCTCCCTCTCTTTCACTCTCACTCTTCCTCTCACTCTCTCTCCCTCTCTCTCTCTCTGCTTAGGCAGAAAAGGCCGTCGGGGGCGTTGCGCAGTGCTGGCGCCGCTCATACTTCAAGCGATTTCAGTCACTACGCGATCTGGCAGTTTCCCATATTTGAGATGCAACACTTACAGACTACGAATGTATAATGCGTTACCTTACACAGATTGATAGAACGTCGTCTGACGTAAGATAGATACGTTTGCGACGGTAAACCATTGTAAACAAATGGGATGTTACCAAACTAGCGTCACATGAAGCATGCCCATGAAAATGCCCCGGAGCATGACGGTCTTGCGAATCTTTCCCTAATGTTACGAATATTGAATGTGCAATAATGTTTAATTTGGTTACAAGAAGGTTTAATCCAGGTGCCTTACCATATCCAAGACTGTTGGCAAAAGTTAGCTCTGACTTCTTTGGCACCTAAGGAACTTGCTAGAAATGTTCCTTGATTCGAGAACGATACGAGTGTTTACTTTGCAAAGCAGTACTTCGACAATTCATGTCAGTCATGAACTGACAAAAAGCGGCAAAAGCGGTTGGATTCCTTGACAGTTGCTTAACACGTTTCGGACCGGTGCTGCACATGGTGTAGCACGCTGCTTTGAAGGTTCTTTCTGACGGTTGCAGGAGGTTTTCTTTAAGTCCAAAGTTATTGAGTCAAAGGTCTAAGCTCTTCTTTTTGAATGACTCTCAGAGCTGTGCCGTCGATATTTGTTTACAAGATATGAGGACAAATCAACAGTTTCAACGAAGTACGGCAACGCGAACGACGCGTGCGACGTCGCAACTTTTCTCTGCTCCGATTTCAAAGAGATAAACCGTAGTTTTGATAGTGACGAGTACAGTGTACAACATAGATACTTTTAGATACTATTTGAAACTGAGTTCTTGCTCCCTCTCTTAAGAAAGCACAAAAGTCCCTCTTAAGCGACAAAATTCAAAGCTTCGAATTCACCCAGAACTTTGGGTGTGGAGCTTATCTGGCATGCTGATTACAGATGTAGTCCACAGTCTG